CTTGTATTGTTTTTGTTCTTTCTATTAATAAATTCATATCCTACGGCTTGGATTTTCAAGTTAGGATATTTCTCCAAAACAAAAATCATATCCATCATTCCACATATTTCATTATCATTTTGTTTAAAGGAGATCATTGATAGTATGATTGTCCTTTAATCATATCGTCGGAACCTTAACATTTTTGTCTCTTGCCGAAAAGTGCCTCCCACGTTCACTACAGTTGGATTACCATTCCTATTCTGGTAAAAACGTGCTGGATCCGTATTTGATGTGGCGAGAGTGGGCTAGGCATCTGTTAAGTTCAGATTTTGGGGTCAACACCAAACATGCTCTAAATAAGTCAAATGTATTAAACGAATATAGTTTTAAATGTTGAGACATCATATAGCCAAGTTATTGATCACATGTAATGATTTATTTATATAAATTAAACTACCAATGCATGATTTTAACGACATCATTTATCAAAGGGAGAATTGTTGTTGAAGTCTCAAACCTTTCAAATTATTATAGGTTATATCCAAATCTTTTATTTTTATAGTTGGAGTCCCAAACATAACATTTTTATTGCAGCTAGAGGACGTGTGAACGGAATTCATCAATTTGATTGACAGTTGACCAAAATCACCATCTAACCAAATGATTGTTTTATTTTTATTTTTAAAATTATTTCACATGGGATAATTTGGTCAAATCGTTGATTTTTGGTCAGCTAATAGTCAAATGGATGGATTCCATCCACATATCCTCCAAATGCACTAGAGATGAAAGGTTTGGGATTCCAGCTACAACAATAAAATGTTTGGGTATAATCTGCAATAATTTAAAAGGCTTGGGACCCTAGTTGCAATTTTTCCTTTATCTAATGTTATTGATTTTAGGCAATGTTCTAAAATGCGTAAAGCATGATTAGGCGTGGAGGCCAAGCTTCAAGCTTTACGAGCTTAGGCGGGCCTAGGCGAAGCTTAACCGTAAAAAACGTTTTTTTTATTTTAAATTTTTAA